CAGGACAAAAGTTTCCTAACTGCTATACCTAAATTTGGTCACCAGGTGTCACTGTGATCCCTAAAACAAATGTATCAGACTTGGCTCTCCAGGTGTCACTGTGATCCCTAAAACAAATGTATCAGACTTGGCTCTCCAGGAGTCACTGTGATAACTAAAACAAATGTATCAGACTTGGCTCTCCAGGTGTCACTGTGATCCCTAAAACAAATGTATCAGACTTGGCTCTCCAGGTGTCACTGTGATAACTAAAAGGAATGTTTCAAACCAAACAAGCAGGAAATGGTGAGATAGCAAAACATTTGGCATTTCACTAGAATTGCTAAACCGGTAAGAATGAAACATTCAACATTCCATTAGAAGCACTAAAGTGAATGTCTAAAGCAGTAATAGTAAGTAAGGCTTCAATCACACATAGCGGTAGCGTTTTCCGTGTGGTATGAAAAATGAGCAAACTTTAACAAACTGTGAGTCATGTCCAATACAGCGTAACAGACGTGAGGTTGCCGAGGGACATTACACACCGCCCGGGTTCCTTAATGGGACATTCGGTATCGGCGAGTACCGAAAAAAATATATCGGTACTCATACTTGATACTGAAAAAACGTTATCGGTGCATCCCTACTGGTCATACACTAGTAGATGTCCAAACAAAAGATTTTTCTTTACCACCAAATAACGCCATCAGACACTTGACGAACGAAATTTCGTTTTATTTTAACATTAGATTTTGGAATGAATGGAGTTTCCCCAAACGAAAACCACATTCACTGTTAGAATTTCGTTCATTCGAGAATTTTTTTTCCATCCTGCTCCTTTGACTTTTTTTCATCACTACAGTCCAAATCCATCATCGATTTACATCAACTAATAAGTTAAAAGAAAGTTCTTTCTAAAATCTAAGCAGTGTATAGCCAGCTTTGGCCTATTTAAGACCCCGTTCACACTGAGCAGTTTGTCGCGTGATTTCCGCTCCAAAATCGCACATATTTCAGCTCAATGTAGCTCGTCCAATGCATTTCAATGGAGCTGTTCACATCTCACAGCTCAATGTCACCTGTAGCTCGTCGCTCAGGCTTGTAGCTCGAACAATACCTATTTTTCGGCAGATGTGGCCCCAATAGACTCAATGTGGTCGCTCAATGTTGCGCATTACCGGCGATATTGCATGACCTTGTCGCGCTACAGAAGGGTCACTTTTGCACAGCAATATGGAAGGAAGGAAGGAAGACCGCTGTTGATTGGTTACAGCCCAATGTAGCAGCAACGAAGTCCCTCCCAAAAGTCACGCTACTTAGCACGACAAAATGTGCACTGTCGCGCAATGCCGCACAGCTCAAAATTGCGCTGAAAAACGCGCAATTGTCCATGTCGCTCAGTGT